ATAAAGAAGGCTGATCACCGAAGAATTGATGCTTTTTAATTATGGTGCTGGAGGAGACTCTTGAGAGTCCCATGGATTGCAAGAAGATCAAACCTCTCCATTCTTAAGGAAATCAGCCCTGAGTGCTCACTGGAAGGACAGATCCTGAAGCTGAGGCTCCAATACTTTGGCCACCTCATGAGAAGAGAAGACTCCCTGGAAAAGACCCTGATGTTGGGAAAGAGAAGGGGACGACAGAGGACGAGATGGTTGGATAGTGTTCTCGAAGCTACCAGCATGAGTTTGACCAAACTGCGGAAGGCAGTGGAAGACAGAAGTGCCTGGCGTGCTCTGGTCCATGGGGTCACGAAGAGTCGGACATGACTAAACAACAACAACAAAGATAGTGCCCATGAACATGAGCCTTCTAGATTGAATTGATTGACCAATATGAGTCATGTAGTTCTTCAGTTTTGGTGCAACCTTCCAGCCCATGTGAATCCACAGAATCCTTTAATTTTTACAAAATGACTTGGTGGCGGCCTGGGGGGTGGGGAAGGCGTGGTTGGCCATCTAACAGAATATTGTTGCAACGCCTAGCTAGAATCAGAAATAGTCAGCAGGTTCCTTGCCTCCTTGTGGGAGACACCTAAAGGCTGCATAGGAAAAATATTCTTCAACCAGGTCGTTGGCCATTAAGCAGTCTTTGGCCTTTTAAATATTTGTGGGGTGGGGGTATGTTGTTGTTGTTGTTGTTGTTAGCATTTTGTGTTTTATGTTGTAAACTGCCTTGTGATCTTTGGATAAAGTGTGGTATTTAAATTTGGATGAAATGTGGTATATAAATTTAATTAATTAATAGGGAGGGAAGAGCCATAATTCAGTGGCAGAGCACACTGGTCCCAACTTTAATCTCTAGTTAAAATTATTCAGGTGGTTGGAAAGACCACTTTCTGCCTGAGACCTGGTGAGCTGCTTCCAGTCAGAGGAAGCAAGCAATACTGGGCTTGATGGATAAACAGTCCTAGTATATATAACAGATTGATTTTTTGAGAGACTCTGTGGATCAGTGCTGGAACACAGATTCAATTCCTGGCATCTCCAGCAGCAGGTCTGGGAAAGACCCATTTGAGATCCTGGAAATCTGATGCCAGTCACAGCAAAACAATATGGAGCGATATGGACCAGAGGTCTGACTCAGTCTAAAGCAGCTTCCGATGTTCTTCATACGACCTTCTCCCCAGGAAGGCTCAGTATAAACTGACCTTGAGCAGGAAAAAAAATACTCCGTTCAAAGGCACAGGAAGCCAACACCCTTCTTGTATTAAGAAAATATCACGCCAGAAGATAATATGTGTGAGTGATTATAGTCGTGCATTGTATATTTGGAAGGATTTCAAATGTCTTGTGTACATTTGGCTTCTGAATGACCATTCTCACTACCTTCCTTCCTTCTGATTAAGCAACCTTCTATTTCAACCACAAATGTAAAAAACAGGTGGGAAAGGCAAAGAAAGATGGGAACATGCTCACTTATAAGGTTGCCCTTCAAAAATAAAAATGGAAAAGCAGTACTGCACAGAGTTGGGAAAATCCAATTCCCTTCCCTGTGCTAAAGAGTTCCCCTCCCCCACCCCATGCCCAGATTTCCCAGACTAGTGCAAATGCCTCTTTTCATGCTACAGCCTTATTGTTAGGAATTGCTGCCCAAGCATGAGCTATTCCTGTCCCCCTCCCCATCCTGTGTGCATGCCACACACAGCAGGAATGGTTCCCACGGTTCCTGGTCGCCCCCCCCCCCAACCTCATGGAAGGGGGCTGCAGGGGAGGGCATTGCTAAAGGGAGAGGGAAGAGGATGTGTTGATAGAGATGAGAGAGAAATGAGCCTGATTAGGGGAGGAGGGTTTGATTATTCCCATTGCCAGCAGGTGCCGGCGGAAGGAGTTCCATGGGGATGGGGGTGCCTAGCAACGCTCTCTGAAGCGCAAACTGGGCGGAGGCAGATGGGACCTGAAAAACCAGCCAAGGGATGGGGGGAACCTACACACCCCCTAGAGGAGTTTAGGTCCCAGGTCAAATTATTTGGGCCAGGAAATCTATTGCAATCCACAACAGAGGCAAATCCCAGAGAGAAAAACAACTTGGGCATCCATTCTCGCCCTTCAAAGAAGCACTCTTCAACCTTCGCTTCCGAGCCTTGCTGGTAAATTTGGAAAAGAGGTGAGCCTGTTATTGGAAAAGCCAGAAAGAGACTTCTAGACCTTGTCTACATTGCGTTCAGGCTAACTATTATGTGGGCCAAATACAGATCTACACTTAAGGTCTCCTCATTGTCCCAAGACTGTGGGCTGGGAGAGGATAGAGGTGAAGTTGAAAACCTGTAAATGTAGAAGGTCTCTGATGAGATTTTATAGATTCTCTCTCAGCTATATCTATTCTTAAAGTATATATACAGCACAAGGTTTCCTTCAAAGAATCTTGGGAAATGTAGTTTGTTAAGGGTGTTGGGGATAAATTCTTCAGGGATAGACATGTGCTTTAAATGTCTGGTGTGGATGTGACTTTTGTCTGTAATGTCTGGCTGAATCACCCGGTTAATTATACTGTGAAGGCAACCCTTGACACAGTGGATCTGGTGGAGTTAGGGCAGAGGCCAGGGCTGAGAATCAGAACTCCTGGATTCTGTCACTTGCACACTCCAAATATGGTAGCTATGCCTAATGTATGCAGAAGACACTATTTTGCACCTTTCCTGAGAAGAACTTGGTACATGTTTTTGGCTCCTGCATGAAGTGGAAAGCAGAAGATGAGGGTGTCTGTGAGAACAGGGCACTTCCAGATGGCTGATAATTTTGCAGGTGGGAACCAGCTGCATACTGGGAAATTCAGGCCATGCAGTTAAGATGGATTTGGTGCTCAGGCTTAAAAAATAATAAATAATGAGAGTAACAGGGAAATACACTGGGAAATGTGGGATAACAATTGCTTAATGGTGACATTCACAACATACATTTTATGCACCATTATACCACTTTAAGAGCCATGGCTTCTCCCAAAGAATAGTGGGAACTGTAGTTTGTTAAGGGTGCTGAGAGTTGTTAGGAGACGCCTTGTCCCCTCACAGAGCTGTTAAACCACGTTGGGAATTGTAGCTCTGTGATGTGAGTAGAGTTTTCAGCACCCTTAACGAACTACAGTGCCCAGGATTCTTTGCAGGAAGTCATGGCTCTTAAAGTGGTCTAAAGGTAAGGTAAAGGTACCCCTGCCCGTACGGGCCAGACTCTAGGGTTGTGCGCCCATCTCACTCTATAGGCCGGGGGCCAGCGCTGTCCGGAGACACTTCCGGGTCACGTGGCCAGCGTGACGAAGCTGCTCTGGCGAGCCAGAGCCGCACACGGAAACGCCGTTTACCTTCCCGCTAGTAAGCGGTCCCTATTTATCTACTTGCACCCGGAGGTGCTTTCGAACTGCTAGGTTGGCAGGCGCTGGGACCGAACGACGGGAGCGCACCCCGCCGCGGGGATTCGAACCGCCGACCTTTCGATCGGCAAGCCCTAGGCGCTGAGGCTTTTACCCACAGCGCCACCCGCGTCCCACTAAAGTGGTCTAATAGAGCTTTAAATTTATGCATGGTGTGGACTTGAACAATTGTATAGATTCCCTGCAAACAAATCAGAATGAATGCTGAGTAAGTAGCTGCCATCATAGAAGGTCCCCAGAACCTTTGTGCAAAAGAATAATAATGAATGTTCAATAAGTAGGCTGCCTGCAAGTGACCAAGAACAGCTTGAAGGGCAGGACATAAAAGCTGGAAGTAGGCAAGGTGTGGAGGAGGGAAGAGAACTCAAAATTACATGGCAGTTCAGAGGGGAAGAAGGTAAATCACAGATTCCAGCCCCAAGGGCCTTGGCTGTGGAATGCCAGGTATTCCTTCCCCCTCCCTCCACGTCTGCAGTAATTGTCTGCTTTGCTGTTTCTCTTGCTCTAAACCTACACGCACCACCACTCCTTCTCTGACCCTGCAAGTGATCCTGCCACATTTTCCAGTGTCCTTTGGTTCCCCCATGTCCCTGCCCTGGCTGTAAGGCAATGGTCAGCAACTGACAGCCCCCAAGTCAAATCTAGCCCACAAAAGACTGCCAGCTGATATACAGACCATGGAAGCAACAAGCCATGTTCCAGATACAGACATATAGACATTTGCTTCCAAACCCCAAACACACCAACCACTTCCTCACAGCTTATTGCATGCCTCTGTGAAGTTTCTGCCAGAAAAGGGGGAGGGGCTGAAAACGGTTCCTGTGGGGGAATCCTTTGGATGAAAAATCTGGGATAACCAGCCTCATATAGCCAACATGATTAAGTCGAAGTAATGCATGAAGGGGTTAAATGCCATAGAGTAAGCTGTCCTGCCAGGCTTAGCTAGGGCACTCCCACTCTCCTTGGGTGGAGGGTAATCAAGCCTATTGTTGTACCTCAGTCTACCTGAGAAGCTAAGCATGTAAAGAGGTCTGAGCCGGTTGCTCTAAGCTCAGACCGCATGGCTCTAACAAGCCACTCTTATGTTCCTATACCAATCATTTAGGAACTTTCATCACTTTATAACAAAACCAAGTTTTACTGCCTGTGTAACATTTTCTGAATGCCATAGGGGAAAGTGCATGAATCCAACCTTTGAAGAGTTTGCAAGTAAATCATTTTTAACTTACCAAACATGTGGTCTTTTTCTATGCTAAGGAAAGAGGGGACTGTTTTGGAACTGACAAGGGCATATTTTAAAGGTCTTAAAGCCTATATTTCAACGCTTTACTTTGCTGCATGTTTTGTGGTTGTAAATCTCTGATGGGGTTCTCTCACCAAAGAATACTTGCCTAAAACCTGGATAATGGCATCTGGAAAGTGTGTACATACACCCCCCCCACCTCCGTATTTTTTCTTTGCCACCAACAAGGAAAAGAAGGGCTTGAAGTTTCAGTGCTAGGCCCTATATTGGCCTTATACCGACGAACTCTACAATGTATTTGAGAGCATTTTTATTTTATTGATTCGTGGTTTTAATTATAAGATTAGAGTCCAAGTGCTGATATCAGCTATACTTCCCAATTGCAGACACATATTCTATGCAAATACCATGCTTGGGAGAAGTAACGGGAGACTGCACAAATCAGAAGCTATCTGGAGGGTCGACTATGTATTGTATGGAAAATTCTCCAGAACGTCTACCATGGTTTTTCTATCTTTCTCCCTTAAAGTCCTTAGGATGATGCCTTACATATTCTTGAAATATCTCCATCTCATTTCTGTTACTTGCTCGTTTACTGAAGCAATAGCTGGCGCAGAAGTCCACAGTAGCCTCAAGACTTGTTGCTAGACTCTCACTCCCAGGGACAGGCCTCTAGTTGATGGCATTGTCCGGAAAGGTGCTCATCATGTGGGCCATCCCAGCTGAGACTTGATAGACCACTGCTGGGGGCAACTGTGGCAACTGCCCTTCACCTGGCAATTTGTTGTGGATATCCCATGGTGCCTGCAGAGATGAGGAGAGCAGGGCCACCTCCAGCACGGAAAGTCGTGCACCTGGTAATCGACTGCAGAAGCTGAACCCTCCAACGCAGCACCTTCAATAGGAATGAGAACACACTAATATGTGTGTTCAGCCTAACTCTGCCTCCCTAAACAATGAGAGGATCAGGAGGAGCATCCAGCTACTTGGTCCACAGGCTGCTGCTCTCCCACGGGGCAGGAATAATTGGTGCTTGGCTTGTCTGGACGTTTTTTCTATCCAGTCCACATAGGAGGTGATGCTGGAGGACAGAACAACCATCTGGGATCCCGGAAAGGGCTCACTCATCAAGCCAACCTGGCTCCATGTCATGCTCTTGGCCTCCAAGTGGCACAGCAGGGCTGCACCCTCACCTACCTGGGAGAAGAAGAAGAAAAGAATGAAGCAAGAATGGCCTATCACAAGGTGGTTGGTTGATGAGTGGCTGGTTGGAGGCTGTTTGGAGAGATACTCACAGCAGCACCAGGCAGGTAGCTAGAGCTATTTCTTACAACACAGTACATGCCTGGATTGACCCCAGGATGTTCCTTGGCACAGTCTGAGGGCATCAGCACCTTGACTTGGTATGCGCTGGAGTCAGCCCCAATTTCACCTGTCAAAAGATGGGTGATTAGCCAGCAAACTGCTTCCAATTCCCTTCCCACTTTTGGGAAAGAAAACTTCCAGAATCCTTCCTCCATCCTATGGCATACTGCCCCAAGCTCCACCCTGTCAGAATCCAGCCTTGACTCCCAAATGCCCAGACTCTACATTTGTCCGCTGAATCACACCATTTTATCCTGAACTAATTTGTCTCAGGAATTGTGCCCCCACCCCACCTCTGCTTCCATCACCACAATAATAATCTAGTTTAGCACCACTGAAAAATCCACCACTTCCCTACGCTTTTAGCCAAATGCTTTCATCATATCTACGCCATAAACACGGGGCCTAATTTACATGTTGTGAGGGACACGTTACCACAGACATATGGTCCCCTCCTGCAACTGCCAGGTAACATTTAACTACAAAAGACATGGGATATATCATCATTGCTTACTTAATTGGATGATGTTTGCAAGCAGGGATGTGCATGATGATGGCATGTAACATGTCATTTAACAAATGCTATTAGGGAGACACAAGAGGTGCCGTGAGGCAGCGACAGTCAAGAATTCCTCTCAACATCTTTCTGGTACACTTGCACTAATTTAATAGCTAATTTAATTTAATAGTCATTCCTTCTCAGATAACCTTGGGGATTTTTTGCTCCGTGAGAGATCACTGAGAAGTCTCAGCACCCTTGCCAAACTACAGTGCTCAGGATTCTTTGCAGGCAGCCATGGCCATTGCATAAAGATTGATGGAATATAGATTTGGAGAGTAGATGTGTCCCTGGTGGGTGTGTCTTCAAGGACTGTCCAGTTCCACTCAGCACAGCTGATCCTTACAGTTCACACACAAGCGCTCTCTCTCTCTCTCTCTCTCTCTCTCTGTGTGTGTGTAAGCAAACGTGCACGCACACACACACACACACACACACACACAGTAGTTGGGGGCAAAAGCCAGGTTAAGCTCCATTGGCTGCCTGCACAAATTAGGGCTTCCAAATGAATGTACTAAGGGATATTTGATGTTAAGGAACAGAAGAGACTGTTTGAAATAGTCTTGGAGCATACAGCCCTATACAATAGCAAGGTCCCTCTCTCCTCTCCCTCTCCCTCCACCCCACTCCCACCCCACTCCCAGTCAGTCTCCTGGCATACCAGATGGCATCATTTGTAGACCCATCACTTTGCAGCTATCCCAGGGCTCCTTTGGGAAGTATGCCATAGCAGCCACATGTTGGTCAAAGGCGATGGGCTTCTGGAGGAGCAGCAGAGCCACGTTGGAGCTGCCAGAGAGACTGTGCTGTGCTGTCTCCTCATAAGGGTAAATTGCAGCAACATGGATGCCTCTGGCGTGGCCCTTGGGGTGTGTCAGCCTCACAAAGACAGCTATGTTTGCTGGGTCCCTGCAAACCGTAAAGAGGGGCCTGGAATAACTCTGTTTTGGGTCAAAGGAAAAGCAACAAAGCAAAGGGAATAGTGTAGGCTAGTCCATTAAGGCAAATGGGGCGCTGCCCCACCAATCTCAGTCTGCCCTAAGCCCCTACCCACCTGCCTTCTTAGCTACAACCAGTTCAGGTGATGGCACTGGCTGGCTGCTGCTGCTGCTTCTTCATCCTCCTTAGTCTCTGTGTTGCCCTTGCAGAACTCCGCAGGGAGCAGGATGGGGACAAAACTAGAATCAGTTGGCGCTGGCTGTTATTGACTCCAACTCCATTTTGGCCTCCCACCCTACCAGTCCTAAATGGGCACTAGCCATCACTAACAGGGAGTAGTCTCTTGATCTTCATTTTGTTTGCTCTTGGTAGGACCCATAAGGTCAGGGGTGCGAATCCCTGTGACGGGGTGAGCTCCCATCGCTCTGTCCCAGCTCCTGCCAACCTAGCAGTTCAAAAGCACGTCAAAATGCAAGTAGATAAATAGGTACCGCTCCGGAGGGAAGGTAAATGGCGCTTCCGTGTGCTGCTCTGGTTCGCCAGAAGTGGCTTAGTCCTGCTGGCCACATGACCTGGAAGCTGTATGCTGGCTCCCTCGGTCAGTAAAGCGAGATGAGCGCCGCAACCCCAGATTTGGCCACGACTGGACCTAATGGTCAGGGGTCCCTTTACCTTTAGGACCCATAGGACCCATAATGATGGGACAGGGCAGGCAGCAGGCTCAGCTACGTTTACATAGTTTATTCAAAGTAACAACTCCTTCATAAACTATGGTAAACTTGATGTTGACCTATGTTAAAACTAATCTGGGCCTTTTTCTTGCTTCTGTTCATGTTATCTGAGCTCATTGGTGATGCTGCGGAGCACAGCCATCTCCCTTTCCTGTATGCCCTCTGGGCAGCTATATCCTACAGCAGGGGTCAGAAAACATTTTCAGCAGGGGGCCGGTCCACTGTCCCTCAGACCTTGTGGGGGACCAGACTATATTTTTTTTGGGGGGGGAATGAATAAATTCCTATGCCCCACATATAACCCAGAGATGCATTTTAAATAAAAGGACACATTCTACTCATGTAAAAACACACTGATTCCCAGACCGTCCAAGGGCCGGATTTAGAAGGCGACTGGGCTGGATCTGGCCCCCGGGCCTTAGTTTGCCTACCCATGACCTACAGCCTAGGTGAACAAAATAGGTGTGCCTCGTTCACATTCACCCTGTAATGAAATGTCTCCCTACCCTAACATGTAGCACGGAATGGGTGAATATTGATAAATGAACTAGAGTCCCCCAAAGGGCATGGGCTCTGATCTCCTAACACAGGGCTAGAGAACCTCTAGCCTGTGGGCCTAAGTTGGCCCGCCATGCTTCTCCCATTTGGTACTGATTCTGAAGAAGGCCAGGAGAATGGGGGCATCACTTACGTCTGTTGAACACACTGTGCTGTAGTCAACACCCAGTAGCGGTTCAGAATTGAGCCCCCACAGCTCTGATTCTCACATGTGGCGATGAGCACTTGCCAGGGCAAGGACAATTGTGCTGAGATCCATGCAGCCAGGGCTGAAGAGGGCAAAGAGGCTGGGTCAGTGTGTGGTGGGGGAGAAGACAATAGCAGAGCAAGGGAGGCTAACTCTAAACAGCAGGAAATGTGCATGGCATGCCATTCAGGGGTGCTCTGGAAGGCATTGTGCCATCATATGCACAGGCCACAGTGACCTGGGGGAGAAGGGACATGTGTTTTGAAGCAGCTCACATGAGAAATTCCAAGCTATCACTCACTCTCTGGTTTCTGTAGCTGCCTAAGATTTTTTGTCGGCCTCAGGTGTTTCCAAGGAACTGTGCGATTGTAACGATACCCTGCAACCTTTGTGGTCCTCTCCAGCCAGGGCAGGTAGTGGGGCAGACTGCTGAAGACATAGGGGCGAGAGCAGGCTTCATCAAAACTGCTCAGCACCCCCAGCTGAAGCCAGGCCCCACCCTGGGGGTCAGGGCAGATCAGCGGAGAGCCCACATCACCCTGGATAGGAGGAGGGAGAAGGAAGAGAAAATGAGAAAGAGAAGTAGGTACAAAAGAAACTTCCCAACCATTACACTCTTTCTGTTATGTACTGAAGTTCTCATCCTGGGCCAGCAGGGGGATACTGTAGATAGTTATGCAAATAAGGGATCGAAAGTGACATTCAGTGATTGGATAGTTTTAGAAAATTGTTACAGTTACATTGTACTGGAGCTCTATATAAGCAGGCTGGCTGAACCCTTCAGTTCAGTTCTGTCCTGGCCTGTGAATAAACAAGAGCTGTTTGAAGAATCGCTGTGTCGTCTGATATGTTCACCCACAACTTAACACTTTCAAACAGCAGTTGACCTGCTTTCTGTGGGGCACTTTGTGCTAGAGCTGGCTCAGTAGCTGCCTCAAACAGCAGGAGCCCACAAGGCTTTAGCCCTGCAGGTGCCCCACCTGCCCCACGGCTGGCACAGAAATGGTGCTAGTACTGGTGCTGATTTTGGCTGAAATCACATCCAAAATTTTGCAAGACCTTGTGGAGCATGCACCATCTTGTGCAATTTCAGTGATATCTCACCCAAAATTGGTGCTGTTGGCAGCAGGGCAGGTAGAGAAGCAACACTGGTGGCAGCAGGTATGGTAGCGGCAGTGACAGGGCAAGGCGGCACTTCCTGTTTCAACATGCCGCCTCTACTTTATGCAAACCATGTAACAAGCTAATTTGTAAATACCCATCTACTGGATCCATGATAGCAGTATGAGAGAGACAGAGAGACAGACAGAGAACGTGCAATATCTAGGTGCTGTTGTACACCTGAAAGAGCTATGTGTGGCAGGCAGGAATTATGTCTTTTAACCTCTTCAGTTTAACAAATGGGTGAGGAGACTGACTTTTTAAATCCACAGCCAGCTGCTATCAGCGCCGAGTCAAAAAGCGGTGGAGGTGGGTCATAATGATGATCTACTCCCAAGCTCTCTCTCACCGTGCAGACTCCTTCCGGGCCCATTTGAGCCTTGATACAGAATATGGCATTGGAGAGCTGCTCCCCAAGCTGGTCGCAGCTGGTGACGCTCAGGATGTCTAAGGGATGTCTCAGCAGCACGGCAGGGCCTCCTACAGCAGGGAGAGAACACATGGGGGTAGCACCATCTGCCCTCAAGTTAGGCAGCATAATTCCATCTCCATGCCCTCAGTGATGACCACCAGCAGGGCACAGAGATGAGGATCCTTTCACCTTCCAGCTGTTGCCAGACTACAGCTCCCATCATACATGACCTTTAACAATGTTGGCTGAGGCCAGTGGGAGTTGGAGTCCCTTAGCAACTGGAGTACTGCAAGTTCCCCACCCCTATAGTAGGATAAAGAAAGTGAGCAGATGGGAACAGGAGGGCTGAAAGTTGAAGTGGGCAAGAGGAATAAGGAGAAGAGTCCAGACCAGGGCAAAAGAAAAGGAATGTTGGGATAGAGAGTGGACAATTGACAGGAGTGTCCATGAAGATGAGCTGTGGAAGGTTGATGTTCTCAGACTTATCTGAAACAACAAGCCAGCTCTTTGGCTGCCTGCAAGAGTGATGTGACACTAGCATTATACCTTTCATGCATCATTTCATGAGAGGGCACTGCACAAAACCAAACAGACTTATCTTTCTTGGGTATCTTTTCCAAGCCCCAGCCTGGGGACCCTAACTACTAACTGATATGCAATGTTGCTCACAGAATCACAGAGACTGGAAGAACCAACAAAGTCATTTAAGAGAGCCCCTCCCTGTGCAATTCAGATCACAGTGTACAAGGAGAAAGCAAGTGCACCACTCACCTTCCAGCACAGACCAGCCTGGTAGCCAACAATTTCTGAAGTCACCTATTGCATCTGCCTTGTCTGAGAGACACACGGGTGCAACAAGGGACCAAATTCCAGTGGCTCCTCCAATTGCAAAAGGCCCAGGTTGTGAAGGTCCCTGTGCTCCAACCAGTTTGGGTGTGTCAGAGACTGGCGGGTCTGCACTGAGTACGTTGCCTTGGAGATGTCAACTAGACCAGCCTGCACCAGGGCCAAAGCTTCTGAATTTTTTCTGAAACAGAGATACAGCAACATAATAGTTGCAGCAACCACACACAACATGTTGCGGAAGCAGGTATTGAGCACTCTCTTGTAGATACTGTTGTTATTTGAACTTTTATTATATGAATTGTGAACTTTATATAAAATGCAATCAAATAAAATGTGCTTCTGTGGCCCCATAACACCTGCACAGCATGTAAAACAAATGACATATATTTGGGGTGGGAAGGTTATTAATGCTACATAAGGACTTCCTACTTCAGTGGGCACAGAATGATGAACACATGTTCCAATGTGGTGGCTGGGTAATGTTTTAAGGTGCAACTCAGCACAAGTCTGGAAATCACTGGGAAGGATAAAAATGCATACTGTTCTAGCATGCTAGTAAACCACCCTGTAATCCTAGGATGAAGGGCAGTATAAAATAATAATAATAATAATAATAATAATAATAATAATAATAATAATAATAATACAATAAAATTCAGCATTTTAAAATGGATGCAATACTGGTAGCAATCAGGTGCTTGGGGCAGCAATATATTTTGTAAGAGTGAACGGCAGTAAAATGGCAAATGCAATTCAATGTATACATGGGCAAACAACAACAACTTCATTTGACTTATACGCTCATGGGCTCCAAAGTGGTGGTAATTGACCAGGAACGAAACCAAGGAGTCATAGTGGATAGCTTGATGAAGATGTGTGGCAGCTGTGGAAAGGTAAATTCCACTTGAAAATAAAAATGCTGATATCATAATGCAGTTATTCAAGTCATAGTGCAACCACCCTTTGGAATACTGTGTACACTTCTGGTCACCACAGCTCAAAAAGAGTATTTATTGTAGAGCTGAAAAAGGTTCAGAAATGGGCAACCAAAATGATAAAGGAGATGGAGCAACTCTCCTATCAGAAAAGCTTACAACATTTGGGGCTTCTTAGTTTAAAGAAAAGATGTGTAAGAGGAGGCATGATAGAAATGTATAAAATTATGGAGGAAGTGGATGGTGTTTCATAACACTAGAACTTTGAGACATTCAGGGCAGATAAAAGTACAGTTTTGAGTAAAACCATTGAAATTCATTCCTTATATCTTTAGAGTTTTGGTCTACCACTGCAATTTTATTTATAATATTCTGTTTTCCCCCCTTCTGCAGTTGCCATGCCATGTATGGCACCGAAAAATTAATTTTTCAGCTTGTTATCAGATGAAGGAGAATATATTAAAAACTGTGTATAGGTGGTACCTGCTGCCCACAAGACTCATCAAAGTGTACAAAAGGGGCTCTAAACTCTGTTGGATATGCTCAGAGGAGGAAGGATCCCTAAAACACATGTGGTGGCCTTGCAAGCAGTTAAAAATATTTGGAGATGGTCGATGAAGAATTTTAAAAAAAATGTTTAAATTTACCTTCACCCCCAAAACTCGAAGCCTTCCATCTAGCCATCATAGGAGAGGAGCTACCAAAAAAAGGTGTCTAACTTATTTTTATAAGCCACAGTTGCTACAAGAATTATGTATGCAAAGATTTGGAAAGACAAAGCAGAAGAGCAATTGTTCGATAAACTGACAGTTTGCAGAATTAGCGAGCATGACTTCTGAAATAAGGGATTGTGATGAAGGGAGGACAAGGGCTGAGTGGGAATATTTCAGAGAGTACCTAAAAAGAAATGATATTACAACTGGCCTGCAAGCAACCGTTTGAACAACATTAAAATAAAACAAAGGATTTGGTAGAATTAAAATAAGGTGTAGAAAACAACGGAAATGCAGCAAACTAAGGTTCTGTTAGAATGTCACTGAAGGTTAGGTTGGGAAGTCTGTAAAAAATAGTACAGTGGTACCTCGCAAGACGAATGCCTCGCAAGACAAAAAACTCGCTAGACGAAAGGTTTTTTTGTTTTTTGAGCTGCTTCGCAAGACGATTTTCCCTATGGGCTTGCTTCACAAGATGGAAACGTCTTGCAAGTTTGTTTCCTTTTTCTTAACACCGTTAACACAGTTGCGACTTGACTTCGAGAAGCAACTCATAGAACGCGGTGTGGTAGCCTTTTTTTGAGGTTTTTAAAGACTTTGGTGATTTTTGAAGCTTTTCCAAAACTTTCCCGACACCGTGCTTCGCAAGACGAAAAAAATCGCAAGACGACAAAACTCGCGGAACGAATTAATTTCGTCTTGCGAGGCACCACTGTATAAGGTAAAACGTGTATGGTGTACTGTAAAATTGAAAATGCAGAGAGAGAGAGAGAGAGAGAGAGAGAGAGAGAGAGAGAGAGAGAGAGAGAGAGACCAAGACAATGCACCCATCTAGAACTAGGTCAACCTGAATAACAGGATACTTACATAAGGTTGGCACATTTGGCTGAGGTTAAAATCCACCAGGGGTTGAGAATGGAGCCAGCACAGAAATGCCGGGTGGGCAGCGTGAGAGCAACAACCCAGGGAAATTCCCCCAACTCCGCCTCAGAGCAGCTTGGGCATTTGGGCACAAAACCAGGCCGCAGCCCACATCCTGAAGGGAAAGACCAACATATTGGAAATGAATTTGCTTGCCTTCAGTTCTCAGTTTATCTAACGGAAGTCTGAAGTAATATTATCCAGTACAGTCTATTTCCCGACAGAATGATGGGGGAGCAACTGGTGGCACACACATAACCAGTTCCTCAGATCTCCCCCTTATTATTATTATTTTTCAGGGGTGGGGAGTACATGTACTCACCAAATTTGTGATCCGCAAGAACTGCCATCTTGTTAAGTTGGTAGGTATGGGAGTTGGCATCCCATGCCAGTCCCATCTCACACTGTTTCAGCGTCACCTGTACAGGTAGTTGCAAGTTAGGCATTATGGTTACACTAGGTGGGGCAAGTAATGCTAGGGAAGGGCCAGGAGATGGGCCTTCCTCGCGTTTACTCTTGGGGAACTGTGGCCTGACTACAACAATATGAACAGGAGCACCTTGGTTGATATAAGTGTCTGGTATGGATGCTACGGCTGTTGAAGGAGGCGTTTGTGGCTGTGAAGTGGTAGCAGGTATTATTATTATATGTGGTTGTACAACAGCTGACATTTCTGTTGAGTGTATTGTGGATGTTACAGATATTTGGTTGGTTGTAGAGGATGTTGTGGACGACTGCCCTGTTGTTGTGGACGACTGCCCTGTTGTTGTGGACTGCCCTGTTGTTGTGGACGACTGCTCTGTTGTTGTGGACGACTGCCCTGCTGTTGTGGACGACTGCCCTGCTGTTGTGGACGAATGCCCTGTTGTTGTGGACGACTGCACTGTTGTTGTGGGCGACTGTCCTGCTGTTGTGGATGAATGCCCTGTTGTTGTGGACGACTGCCCTGCTGTTGTAGACGAATGCCCTGTTGTTGTGGGCGACTGTCCTGCTGTTGTGGACGAATGCCCTGTTGTTGTGGACGACTGTCCTGCTGTTGTAGACGAATGCCCTGTTGTTGTAGACGAATACCCTGTTGTTGTGGACGACTGCCCTGTTGTTGTGGACGACTGCCCTGTTGTTGTGGACGAATGCCCTGCTGTTGTGGACAACTTCTGCGTTGTTGTGGATTTTAGTGCTATTGTAGATGTTGCAGAAGATAGATGTTCAAGTGTGGAAGACACTACAGAAGATGTTTCTCTGGCCATTGTAGATGTCTGTCCAGTTGTTGATGATGATAAAAATGGGGATTGTCTGGTAGTTGTAAGTGTTACATGGGGTGTTGTGATATTGGGGAGGGACTGTGTTGTTGTGGATGTTTTCTGAATTGTTGTGGATGTTGTAAAATTTACATGATTATCTGCTGCAACTATTGTGACTACTGACTGTAGTCTATTGAGTGCAGATGCAGAGTGCACTGAAGTTGTAGGTATTACAGTCAATGGTTTTGTAGCTTCTGGCGATGAGAGTTCATTTGTAAAGGTAGAATCCAACAGTGGGGGGTTGGATGTCAAAGCTACTTCTGATGGTTCAACAGGTCCAACTGCTTCAGATGCTTCAGATTCTTGTTCCACAATTGGGGGTGTTATAGACGCTTGTGGGACTTGTGTGGTTGTTTGTGCTGTTGATGTGAATACTATGCCTGTTGGGAATGTTACAGATTCTCCAGCTGTTGAAGATAATTCTCCTTCTGTTTCAGACAGAGCATAAAATGGTGTGATTGCTGGGGAAGACAATTCACCATTAGTGGTCTTGCTATCTTTCAGTTGTGGACCAAGTGCTCCTTCTTGACTCAGCCACTTCAAATGGGATAAAATCTGAGAAGCCAGGATAGGAGCTGTGCAGTCATGTAAGCTCTGGGACACAACACCCATCACCTCCCAGTGCCCGCTGCCAGGGTCACGACAAATCACAGGACTGCCTACAGACACCTGTAGCAGAAAAGAGAGCATGATAATCAGATATGGAATGAGACAACTAAAGCAGATGATAAAAAGGGGTCTGTGCCACTAAAAGCAGTAAGAAAGGCTGGCTCTTGGGAAGCATAGGAGCTCAGTAGTTTTTTTCCAGCTCCTCAGCTATGCTGCAGTTGGCATGAAGAGGCAATTATTTTGTTTGATTGTGCTGTTTCCTGTCCGCACCAGCAGGTGAAACATGACAGGATGTGTCCAGAATGAAGAAAAGGTGTCCCTGTCATCCCCGCCCTTCATTTCTCCTACATAACTATTTGTGCTTTCTGGTAATGTTTGTTGGTGTCCTATAGACTCACACTTTTAAAAAAATCCCATTAGAATTCTGGTATTTCCAAACCTTGGCCAATCTTCCCTTCCCCTCTGCTGACTGTAGTTCCTTTCTAATCACATTGGTCCTATCAAATAGTATAAGACCATATCTAACTTCCCACATACACAAAATGGTGACTAGAAAAGGGAAGTATAGAATGGGCACCCACTAGAGAACTGATGAGGTAGAGTGGGTTTGGAATACAGAATCACAATTTGCTGGCCGTTGCTGAAGTATGA